TCATTACCCAAACTTTGGTTTGCTCATCTGTGAAAGGGGCATCTGACTGCCTAGTACCTTCCTCACAGGTTTGCTGTGAGAATTCGACAGCATATGCATGTTGCAGTTAGCATGATGTCTCACATAGGCTGAGCACTGGATAAATTTCAGCTCTTCTTACTAATTCTTGTTACTCTGAGCAAGCCACGTAGAATCTCTGTGCCCACATTCTCAATCACTGAAGGAAGATGACATCAACCATACTAAATTAGTCAGCATAGGCTAATTGTTGAAACAAGGGGCCCCCCAAATCTCAGTGGATTATTTCTCATTCACTTCATCATCCAGTGAGGGCTGCTGGGATTTGAATGAGATCCATATAGGCATTCAGAGGCCAGGTCACCTTCTATCTAGTGGCTCTGCCATATACCCGGGACCTGTACTATGTTGGCAGAGGACGAAAGATAGCACAGAGGACCAGGGTCTTTTAGGGACCAAGCCTGGAAGTGGCATACATCAATTCTACCTCTATTCCATTGGCGAGAATTCAGTCACATGAGCTGCACCTCACCACAGGAAGTCAGTTTGGGAAATAATACCAAGCTATGTGTTCCAGAGGAAACGGAAACAAGATTTGGTGAAACACAGCAGTCTCTGTCACACCTACCTAACCTCCTCAGGGGGTTGCTAATAAAAGTGCATGTGAACACTAGTGTCAAAGTGCTATGGAAAGTGATAAACTAACGTGAGCTACAGGTGATGCTGCTGTTGTTGATTAAGCCAGGAAGTTTCTGTGCATCCTCCACATTGCTAAAACATACAGCAATTTGGGTATGAGAAGAAACTGAAATATAATCGGAAGGTCCTTCCTCCTGTACGGAGACTCCTGAACTAGTAAGACTTTATTTCTCCACTTGTATCTTCAAAAGTAGGCCACTCCGGGCGTGGTGGCTCATGCCTGTAATCCCAGCATTTTGGGAAGCCGAGGCGGGGGTAGATCACGAAGTCAGGAGTTCGAGACAAGCCTGGCCAATATGGTGAAACTCCATCTCCACTAAAATTACAAAATTAGCCAGGCATGGTGGCGCATGCCTGTAATCTCAGCTACTCAGGAGGCTGAGGCAGGAGAATTGCTTGAATCCAGGAGGCAGAGGTTGCAGTGAGCCAAGTCGCACCACTGCACTCCAGCCTGGGTGACAGAGTGAGACTCCATCTCAAAAAAAAAGGGGGGAGGGCCACTGCAGGTATATAATCTCCTTTCTTTGCCCATTGGTCCAATTCACATGGGGGTGTAGTGAAACTGGAGGGAAAAAAGGGGGGACAGCAGAATAAAAGAACAGGAAGCTATTACTTTGAGGAGTGTAATTGTCAGAGCAGGCTGTCAGGGCAGCCTGAAGCAATCAGTAGGTAGTGGCCAGCCTCCACAGCAGTAGTTCATCGCCGCATGAAGATGCTGGGGAGTTAATCACACCACTGATAGGTGTCAGCTCCAGGCATTGGAGCTTAGAAAATGAAAATATGCTTAGAAAATGCTTAGAAAATGAAAATAATTAAGAGGCCACATATTTGAAATGTACCACTAAAAAGGAAGGGCAGTCATCGTAGGGTTAGGTGAATGCCATGTTTGTAATCCACTGAACCAACCGGATGAGACTGTGAAGGGTAAATGTGTCCAAGGGTACTTTGTTATTTGTACCTGATAGACGCCTTTCACACTCTGTTTTGAGCCTCTGCATGGCCTGTCATGAAAGACAAAAGCAAACACAATTTGCCCAGGCTTTGCTACATGAATATTAGTGCTTCAGGAATGCTCTAAGATCCTGCCAGCTGTGGCTCAGGAAGGGGTCCAGGCCAGATCTGACTCATCCTGCTGCCTTCCTCCTGGAAATGATCCCCTTTCTCATCCCACTCCTGCTGGCTGAGCCCAGGTCCTGTCTGTCCCATATTTCCTTTGATCCAAGGAAAACTAAAAGTGATTACTAGCTCCCAAGCAGCCTTTGTTTACAAATGGGTTCCCACCTGAATATGTTTACTCAAAAAAGTAGTCAAATAATTAGCTAGAACAGAGCAATCAAACTGATCAGACAATTCCTGGAGTAGGTCAAACCTTCAGAGCTATTTAACGACAGTTTTAAAGAACTGAACTGGGGTCTTCCAGCATAGAGAAGCAGGGATTGTGGCAGAAACTGCGAGGGAGAGTTTTAAAAGTGCTTAGAATAAAAATCTTTTCATTGAAAAAAAATGACAAGAATTGCCCACATAATTATGGCAATTCTTCCTTTCCTTTTGCAATGCAAATTCCTGGCAGAGTGTGAGAGAAACTGAATTCTACTGTCCTAGTTTTTCAAACTAAGAAAATAAAATAATTTGTTACCGAAACTTTCAACTTCTACTTTTGAAAGCTACATTTAAGTTTTAAGAATCACATAACAAAAGAGACTACAGATAAACCTCATTACAATTTTTTAGTATTGAGTATTAGGTTATTTACTTTTCTTCTTCCTAAAGCTACTGTAGAAAGAAAATTCAAAGGACTAGTAAGAAGAATAGCTCAATTGATAACAAGTCTGGTTTGTCAATGACATGCTAATACCTGTAACAGTTATTAATTATCTCAGCAGCGTCTGTTTTTATATGTAATATATTCTTCATCATACTTAAATTAATAAATAGCAACCAATTGTTGTCTCTTTTACAAGCTTCATATGGAAAGAAAACTGAAAAAAATATATTTGTATTAGCAGAAAGTGAGTATAAGGAACTTCCCAGCCTCCCCTCCATATATTTACTGACAAGCAACTGACATGAGTGATAGCAAAGCAATGTGGTTAGTGAGGAACAGCGCAGAGTGTGCAGTTTCCTTTTCTCTAATGTTGATTTGTTTTCTGTGCTGACACAGTCCTAGAGGTTACTGTTCAAAGGAAGCATCAACAACAGAAGTAGTTAGAGTGCTGATTAAAGAAGATTCTAAGAAAATGACCAATCACCATCAATCTTTTTAATATTGGCTAACAAATATGTATTTTTCCTTCTGATATTATTAATAGTATAAACAGAACAATTCTGTTTTAATATATCCATATAGTGCCTTATGCAAGTAAATATGATTCTGGATATTTTATGACCTGTAATTACTTGAAATCGGAAAGTCCTCTTAGTTTCTCCTATTACCCATGTGTTGCTGAGACCAACTGAAGAACCAGTTAGGAGGTTTGTTCATTCAAGAAATAACATTTAAGAAATGGGTACCTGCTTATCATATAAAAGAATCCAGTTATGTACTTACCCTGTGAGGAGACATATGTTAAAATGCTTGTACACTGCAGATGGGAAGAGGTTTTTCCAGGAATTTAAATTGTGCAATAGGGCCACACAATCTTACTTTAAAAAAAAAAAAAATGGTAAAGGGGTTTTAATTACACCATGAAGTTTTACAATTTTTTAAGTTTTTAGTTCTAGTTTTAGAAAACAAAGTAGAAGGAGTACAGAGAAAAACTTCACCATTAGACAAGTCAAACTAATTGTAAGGGCCGCGCAAACAGGCTTTTCCAAGAATTAATCATGAGGTGGTGCTTGGAGAATTCCTTTGCCCCAGTGACTTTCAAACCCCCTTCTCACCCTCCACTAGTCTTTCAAAGGATTTATGGTGAATGGGGTCTAACGAGTATAACACGGCCGAAGGCATGAAGTTCACTCTACCCTTTCAGGGCGGAGAAGTTCCCCGGAAAGAGAATGGAGAAAAAAATCGCAGTTAGGCAGTCCTCCCAACCCCACCAAGGCTCCACCTCTCGAAAGCTGCAAGGTTCTGCCACCTGCGCCGGGAGAGGCTGCAGTCACTGTCTCCTCCTCTTTCTTTTTTTTTTTTTTTTTCCTTTTTCGCCTGGGGTGCCCTACCAAGCGCAGCCGGCAGCCCGGTCACTGCCAAATTACTCCAACTCCTTTTATGGTGAGAGGATGGATTCTTCGTTATTTCCCCGCCCAACCTGGTACCCACTCACCCACCTACCACGTCCGCTGGGCGCACCCAAGTCTAACCCAGGGGCGCACGCGCTAGCGCACACAGACACCCCATTTCTCCTCCTTTCTCGGCCAACCCTAGGTAGAATGCTAAAGCAACTGCCCTCTCTTCCACGACCTAGATGTTGCGGCCCGCGGGCAGGAGGTTCAAGAAATAGTCCACTCCAAGAGGCAGGCAGCAAGGCGGAAAGGGTCGCTGGTTTCAGTGGTAGCCCCACTGGAAGCCGAGTTCAGGAGCGGCTAAGCGGTTGCCGGGGAAAGCACCGGGGCTTCCCAGGGTCTACTCCCGGCTCCCACTCCGCAGCTCAGAGGGCGGGAAAACCACGGGAGCCGCCCCGCCCCACGCAGCCCAGCCCCGCCCCAGCCCAAACACCGCCCCCCGCCGGGCTCCCCAGCGGCGCCCAGGGAGGACGCGCTCCGCCCCCTTCCAATCCGGCCAATGGGCGTCCGGGCAGCGCACGGTTTGCCTCCGCCTCCGCCAGGGAAACTTGGAGGAGGAGAAAAGTTTGTACAGAGGGTGGAAAGGCGAGAGCGGAGCTCCAAGCCCGGCAGCCCGAGAGGAAGATGAACAGCCCCAGGCCAGAGCCTCGGGCAGAGTGGACCCCGAGCCGCCCCCAGGTAGCCAGGAGCGGCCTCAGCGGCAGCCGCAAACTCCGGTAGCCGCCCGTGCTGCCCGTGGCTGGGGCGGAGGGCGGCCAGAACTGGGGACCGAGGCTCCGCGCTACCTGCGCGCGTGGCCTCACACCTGAACGCTGTCCTCCAGCGGACGAGACCGGCGGGCACTGCGAAGCTGGGACTCGTCTTTGAAGGGAAAAAAAAAATAGCGAACAAGAAATCCAGCACCATTCTTCACTGACCCATCCAGCTGCCCCTCTTGTTTCCCAAGTTTTTGAAAGCTGGCAACTCTGACCTCAGTGTCCAAAAATCGGCAGCCACTGAGACCGGCTCTGAGAAGCCGAAGGTTTGGCAATTTCCAGACTGAGCGGGACAAGGTGAAAGCAGGTTGGAGGCGGGCCAGGACATCTGAGAGCTGACCCTGGGGGCTCGCGAGGCTGCCGCCGCTGCTGCTGCTACAGGTGAGATGGCGTTGGGCTGGCGTTGGGGTCAACGGGTAGCGAACGCGGAGATGCGGCGCTCGCCGAAGAGAGCCAAGAAGGGAAGAGCGCGCTCTCCAAATTGCTTTTGTAACTTGTTTTCAGTGAGGATTTCATTGACTCAGAATCTATCGGGAATAGCAATAGGGAGCTACTTTTCCCTTGAGATGGCTCTTATTCATCTTGGCAATGGAGTGAGTTGGGTTGAGGGGAGGAAGAGGAATGGGAGAAGCAGTTTATAAATATTAATGTCAGCAAGAGTGTGCTGCTGGCAGGACGTATCAGGAGCCTAGAGATTTTGGTGGCCGCAGTTGGTAAGTGGCTACAATCCAGAAAGTAGGATCGAGTTGCTCCCCTTGGCTTATCAGTGTATCGTTTCTTGGGCGCTGGTCTAACACCTTACAAGTGGTAATTTCCGCTCACGGCAGCTTTGTCTCTCTTCTACCATCCCCAGACCCAGCCTTGCACTCCAAGGCTGCGCACCGCCAGCCACTATCATGTCCACTCCCGGGGTCAATGCGTCCACCTCCTTGAGCCCCGACCGGCTGAACAGCCCAGTGACCATCCCGGCGGTGATGTTCATCTTCGGGGTGGTGGGCAACCTGGTGGCCATCGTGGTGCTGTGCAAGTCGCGCAAGGAGCAGAAGGAGACAACCTTCTACACGCTAGTATGTGGGCTGGCTGTCACCGACCTGTTGGGCACTTTGCTGGTGAGCCCGGTGACCATCGCCACGTACATGAAGGGCCAATGGCCCGGGGGCCAGCCGCTGTGCGAGTACAGCACCTTCATTCTGCTCTTCTTCAGCCTGTCCGGCCTTAGCATCATCTGCGCCATGAGTGTCGAGCGCTACCTGGCCATCAACCACGCCTATTTCTACAGCCACTACGTGGACAAGCGGTTGGCGGGCCTCACGCTCTTTGCAGTCTATGCGTCCAACGTGCTCTTCTGCGCGCTGCCCAACATGGGCCTCGGTAGCTCGCGGCTGCAGTACCCAGACACCTGGTGCTTCATCGACTGGACCACCAACGTGACGGCGCACGCTGCCTACTCCTACATGTACGCGGGCTTCAGCTCCTTCCTCATTCTCGCCACCGTCCTCTGTAACGTGCTTGTGTGCGGCGCGCTGCTCCGCATGCACCGCCAGTTCATGCGCCGCACCTCGCTGGGCACCGAGCAGCACCATGCGGCCGCGACGGCCGTGACCTCGGTTGTCTCCCGGGGCCACCCCGCCGCCTCCCCAGGCTTGCCGCGCCTCAGCGACTTTCGCCGCCGCCGGAGTTTCCGCCGCATCGCGGGCGCTGAGATCCAGATGGTCATCTTACTCATTGCCACCTCCCTGGTGGTGCTCATCTGCTCCATCCCGCTCGTGGTGAGTGACCAGGGCTGGGGCCCCACCCGGCCCTTTTCTCACATCCACCTCCCTCCTCCGTTCCCCGCTCCCCGCTTTCCCTCTCAGTCTTTGGCAGTGAACATGTCTCCTTTAGGTCGGGGCTGGGATTCCCACACTTTCTCAGAGCGGGCCCAACCCTCTTTGAAGTCCCAGTCCTAATGAGCTTTAGCAGGTGCTTTGCCCCCACATCCCCCAGTTTATGTTCCCGAAAGCCTGGGTTTTTTTCTCTACCGGGACAGCCCTTACCCCTTGCTGCCTGACATTGGCCGCGTCTTCCAAGAAAATCCCCCACCCCCTCTGTTAGATGTGGAGGGGAACCTGCTGTAGTGTAACTTAGCCCACTCCTCCGTACTGTGAACTGTGAACTGCAGAACCTGAAACGTCAGGGATGGTGATCTGTTCGTTGTAAACCATTTCTAAGGAAAGTGGGGTTTTTGGTGTTTTGATTTATGCAAGTTTTTTTGACTTTTTCCCCCCGGTGGATTGCGTAGAATTTTAAAGCTAGAAGAGATATCAAGAGGTGTTTTAGTCTAACTCCCTCACTTCACTGAGGGAGTGAATGATATGCTTAAAATAATCCAGCCAAACCTACAGAGTCAAGCTAGGCTCCCTGCTCTACCATGGTGTGCCCTGGGAGGGCAGCTTAAAGCACACAAATTCTAATTCATACACGGGGCAGGGTCCAGACTCAGTTTCTTTCATTCTGTGTAGGCCAGGAAAGCAGAGTTTCTCAGGGTGACTAATTATGGAAAAGCTGGTATACATGGGGTATGGGATTTGAATTCTCTACAACTGTGCAAGAAACAGTACCATTTTAGAGAAACCGAGATTTAGAGATGGCTGTCTTCGTTTCTTCAAGCCAAAGCTCTACAGCTTGTAATGGACCTTTGGCCTGTCTGAGGCCAGACCCAGCTCATGTGTTATTACATCACGTCTCCCTCCTAGAACATTTCTCATTTTGGCCTTTGTAAAGCGTGGGTTGGAGTTTTGGTACACTTCATTTTTAGTTCATCTTTTAAGAATTGCCTTTGGATTAACTTTTAAAATACGATAAACAGAAAGGTTCAAACCCTACCTAGTTCTTTACTTTGCCTCTGACTAAAATGGAATGCACCAGAAGCAGATGGGCAGAAGAATGCAATACTTTATCTAGAGTTTCTCTTGAAAGCAACTAGTTATGAGTTCTTCCATCTTCCAAAACCCCACATTCCTGGAAATTCTAAACTACCAACTCAAAAAGAGATAACTGCTTTTTCTTATGCTTATTGGGAACAAGAGAAAATAAAATGTAATGGGCTATTATTCCTTCCTTTTCCTTATTAATACTGTCCAGGGATCTTTGGTGTAGAAATATTATAGCTCTGATAAAAGTGACTGTAAATGGAAGGAACTTAGAGGGGGCTGAGAGCCAGAATACAGTAGCTTCTTACCAATTTGTATAAACAGTAATAAATATAATTGGCCATAAGAGCCTTTAAGCCATTCCAGGACCCAATATAATTTACAGAGTTAAGTCACACTTGAGCCACATACATACATTTTACTGTCTGTAATGGCAACCTAGAATAAAGTAAGATTTTGGACAAAAACAACTCCGCTCCTGATGGGGCCCCTGTTCCTGGGCCTCTGCCTTGTGTTTTACAGAACAGTAAATGACAAAGTGAATGGTTGTTATTCTCAGAACATCCACTTAAAGGGACAGAGGAATTAGAGCTAGAAGGTTAGCAACATGCACATACTTTATATGTGTTTTGGTTGGAAGTAAGCCTGTAAAGCTATGGATTTCTGCACAGCCACGGATGAATTATTTTCTTCTAACATCTAGAGAGACATACAAGGCTTAATTCACCTCGTGGGCTGAAGTGGTAGACCTGGACCTAAGATTCAGGGCCCTTACACAAAGCCTTAAAATTATTTGAGGACCTAGAGGCGAGAAATTATAGGAGCTGTATTTGTGGTTTGCAGATTAACCACATTTTAACTAACAAGAAATACTGTCCACCTGTATAATGTTAGTAACATGTTGTAAATTTTAAGTGATCTTAACCTGAAAATTGAAACTAGCTCAATTAAGAAGTAATCCCATTAGTCAAGTATTTATGTAGCTTTGTGAGAAATAAGGAATCCTACAAATAGCAGTGGCATCAGTTTGTCGCCCTTAGTTTTGGGTACTAAAATCTAATTTCAGAATCAGTTTATAAATCAGTGATAAATGATGGGTTCATTATACTACCCCCCCAACCCCCCCACAATTCAGCAATTAGTGAACTAATCGAAAACCCTTCTGCAAATACAGTTTTCCTTGGCTTCCTTTTACAACTTTCTTTTTTCATGTTTTCATATTCATATTAGAAATTAAGATTAAAGCTCAGAACTCTCTGATATTGAAAGCAGATGAGCCTATCTTCAGTTCCAAAGAAACTAATGAAGCATCTAATTTTATCAAATCAAGTGGTTGCTAATCCCATTTAAGGAAAATCAAAGCGTTGGAATTATTTTAAATGCTTTGGAAAGGCTAACAAAGCAAATATAGCTTACTTGGAATTTCAGAAAGCTTGATATAATACAAAAGGAAAACAAGCAGCCATTGAAAAGCAGCCAAGGTTTTGCCTCTTGGACACCAGGGAAGAAAGAACTACAGCTCTTAGAGGGGGTTGGTATTGAGTTTAGTATAAAACATAAAATTTAATTTGCTATCCAAAATATACATGTTTCATAAATAGAGCTAAGATTGGAGTGGAAATTTGAGAAAGGTTGGGAAATTAGTTGTGGATATAAGGAACTGTGCTGAACCTTCAGAATTCTTTGAACTGGGTCATAATGAATGATCAGAGAAGGTGTAAGTATGATCTGCAAGGAACATCACATGACAAGATGTAATGGGTAGGTGGTTCTTGTCATTTTGTCCTTTCTTCTATTTATAACCAGTCTCAGGGTTTTTTTAAATATAGGAGAATTTTGGAAGTGAGAACTTCCAAAATTTTGTGAGAACAAGAAGTGAGAGTCTACATTTCAGACAAACAAAAAAGATTGCATTCTTTAGAAATATGCAAGCAAGACAGCCCCTTAAGGTCCTGGTGCTAAATGCTGTAGCTAGATGAATTTCTAGTGCCTAATTTTTCAGTTACTAATGAATATTAAGATGATTATTATAATCAAATATTTTGCCTCAGGGCTAAACAGTTACTATAGGGTTTGGAAGGGCATTTTCCCCCATACACAAGCAACCCCAAACTGTATTTATTGCTTACTTGTTTCTTTTATTTTTTAACTCTGAAGTAACAAATATTTATCTCAGCTAGGGGCAGAATGGCTAATTTGATTAATCTTCTGCCTTGGTGAAGTAAAACTTAGATTCTTAGGAAAATACTTCCTGTGAGTGTTTATTTGGTTCCTTACTGTAAACTCGTCGTCTCTATAAAGCTTTCACCAGCATTTGATCAGCAAAAGTTTATAAGGACAGATGAAAACTTTGTAAATAGATATACTTTTGTTTACTGTAGGCAAACTGGAAGTGGAGTCATAAAACAACTGATGAGATGTCAGATGAGTGTGAAGCATATCTACACATACAAGAGAAATGCCATACATTTGGGTATGACTACAACAGAATCTAAAAGACTGGATTTGTTCAAATAAATTTGGCTAAGTTTAAAAAATTGCAATGCCCAGAAGCAAGTTTTAAGTCATAACATGAAATTGTAGACCCAGTAGTAGTAACTTGAAGACTATTGAGTTCCATAAAAGTAAGTTATTTCCACATCTGGCATTTCATTTGAATCTTGAAAAGCTCTAAGGAGAAAGTAGGGCTGACCAGTATTTTCACTCTCTCTGCACCTCAGTTTTCCCAGCTGCAAATGAAGAATTTATATCATTCTGCAACTTACAGGGTAGCTATAGGTGAGTCCTCATCTAATGCTCATTTCACCATGCTTTGCTGACCTGTCAATTTGTTTGTATTGAATATCTCCTAACAAGTTTTTTTTTTTTCTCAGCGCTGAAGTCATTCTTGTAGTCTCCTATTAGAACATTCAATGTGAGAGCTTAAAAAACAAAACAAAACAAAACAAAAAAGAAACATTCAGTGTAGAGGTTGACCTATAAAGCCTGTAGAGATTTAACTTGCCTTCTACAAATGGCCAGTTAGTGGCCTAGAAGGAACAAGAACCAAGCTCTCCTACACACCACCCAGTCAAGAATTTTTTTAACTATTCTTTACTTGAAAAAAAGAAAGTGATAAGAACTTCTAGTAACAGCTGTGTCAATTTTGGACTCTTCACAAGGCAGTGGGATAACTGAGCACATACAGATAATTCCTTTTATGTGCTTGGAACAGAACAAGTAGCACACACATTCAAATCCAGTTACAGATCTTGTCACTTATTGGAAAGCATTACTACTGTTTTGACAGTCGATTACTAAATCTGTCTAATCAAGAGTTCAACATTCTTTCTTCAACATTCCCTGCAAACAGATTATTAAGTAGGAAGTACATGTTTTTGATGTCATATTATTAACTGTATCCCAAAGCTACTTCTAAGCTACAGTTTTCAAATTATTGATATATTCCACACTGGGCAAGCTTCCACATATGGGTTCAAAAAACGTAATGAGAGCCAACATACCTGTTCTACGATAGGCGCTATGCTAAGCACTTTGATCATTCGTACCTATGTTATAAGGAGTGGAGCCAGGATTTGAACAGAGGCTTGTTTGCTTCCAAAGCTTGGGCATCTATCTCTATAGCATATAGCCTCCTTACAGCTTTCTTGTCACCACGTCTTCTTCTGAACTGATTGCATTTTCTCCAAGTTATGTTCTACTGCTCCTGAACCCTAATCTCTAATCATCCTAAAAAGGTGTGAATAACATAATTTTTAAAATGTAGCTTGGTGTGTTGGCATGTGCCTGTTTCCCAGCTACTTGGAAGGTTGAGGCTAGAGGATTGCTTGAGTCCAGGAGGTTGAGACTGCAATGACCATGTTTGTATCACAGCACTCCAGCCTGGGTGACACAGTGAGACTCTTTCTAAAATAAATAATTTAGAATACTGTAATATGCCAATATGAACAACAAACCACATGTACACATTAGCAGCTACTAAGAAAAATACTTAAAATTGGAAGAAAGGAGATATGTCATTAGTATTCAGTGAGTTTTTTTGTTTTTGTTTTTGTTTTGAGACAGAGTTTCCCTCTTGTTGCCCAGGCTGGAGTGCAATGGCACAATCTCAGCTCACCACAACTTCCGCCTCCCGGGTTCAAGCGATTCTCCTGCCTCAGCCTTCCAAGTAACTGGGATTATAGGCATGCGCCACCATGCTCGGCTAATTTTGCATTTTTAGTAGAGACAGGGTTTCTCCATGCTGGTCAGGCTGGTCTCAAACTCTCGATGTCAGGTGATCCGCCTGCCTCGGCCTCCCAAAGTGCTGGGATTACAGGCGTGAGCCATCGCACCCGGCCGTATTCAGTGAGTTTTTTTAATGATTTTTTTCCGTCCTGACTCAGAGGTTTTTTATCAGCAACACACTCCTCCAACACTGAAAACTGCCTGAACTTGTTTAGTCGTGTAACATATAGGGCCTGTTAGACAAGAATTCCGAAAAGTGCTTTCACCCGCTCACAAGACATTGAAGCACTACTCCAGATGTTCCCATCTCAACTGCGGTTGTCCCTGCCCTCTTGGAAACAGCAAGTCAAGTAGCCCCTTTAAAGTGAAGCAGAGGTTGCTATATGTTTTCAAACATTGCAAGATGCGTGGAGTTTTTGTTTGTTTTGTCTTTTTTCTTTCCCTACTTGAAGTAAGTCTCAACTGAGATATGTTGCAAAGTAAAACTCATATTGATTCTTTCCAATTTGACCAACTTTTGAGAATGTTTTTACCCAAATTTGAACTTTTGCTCTTTAAACTCATACTTTTGCTACCCTGTGAATTCCCCTTTATTGAAAAGACATTGAATGACCAGGTTCAGTGGCCTGGACTAATTGTAAACTTTTCCTCCCCCATTTCCATAATTTTAATATACTTTTAATATAGCCTCCTTTCATTCCCTCCTATGCTAGTCAAAATCCATTGCTGCTGTAGATGAGATGAGGCACAGAAATGATTCTTTCCTTGCCTCTCATCACCTTTGATTATGACAACCTATTATTGTTTTACAACATTCCGACCTTTCTAAAAGGCCACAGAAATTTTAAAATGCTAACTCCTAATATACTTCTTTGAATGGCTACAAATTCCATTTTAACTGTTCAAAAATTTTCTTCCTTTCAGTAGTAGCCATGTTTCCTTTGAGGTTGTCGCAGGAGAAGCAACCAGCAATAAAACATTTTCAGTGTCTCAGAAACGTCAGGTTGAGACTTAACCAAAATTCTGTTCTGCGAGTCTCGGAGACGGCTTTACACAGTGCTTATTAGGGAGGGAGGATCAGAAACTCTCGAGTGGAGCAACACTGCCACCTGGAGGCTTGAAGGCTCAAGTTCACATAAACCCGGCCGTAGGTCTTTTCCAGAGACCACACACAGGACTTGATACTAACAGATTTAAATCCATCATTTCTTCTACCCTTAGGAACATAGTACGTGATGTGAATAAAATGTAGACCTCATGCTTTTTACCAATAACTCCATTGTCAAGAAATAATGATTAAACAGAAAGCCAGACTGGTAGAACAGAAAAGGCAACATGGAAGTCCAGACCAGATTGCCACCAACAGGGCGGGGGACATCCTAAGTTCCTCAAAAGCTCTGGGTCTCAGTAACAAATACCTCATCTGAGAAAAGGCCTGTACAGTTGAGGGAACTGCTGAGTTTCCAGACATAGCTGAAGACCACAAAGCTTATGGAAGCAAGAAACCAAGATGCTTTATTTTACTAGTAAAATATTTTTTATTATTTTTTATTTTATTATTTTTATTTTACTACTAGTAAAGATTTTTTTTTAAATCAAGTATGCTTTGCCTTGTTACTATCATTTATCCCAGCATAGTTTCTAAAAGTATTTTAAGAGGCGATATTACATACTGATGTTCATTCCAGTTCATTCTTGATTTAGCTGTCTTCCAAATATCAAGATATTAATTTCATCTTGGCTAGAGGCCAAGATGTTTTGGCCTTTGACTGTTTTATTCTCTGAGATTTACAGGCCCATAATCCCATATCCGAAATATTTAGGGGCAGATGAGTTTCAGAATTTAGAATTTCTTGGCTTTTAGAGAAGTAATCAATAATATATTGCAAAATATGTAATATCCTCATCAGAATTGGAACAGTACTCCTGGACCAGAACATAGGAATATTCACTCTAAGTGGAATAAATTGAACTAAATGGCTTCACAGTCTGTTCAGTTCAGTTTTTGCTGCCAAAATAAGTTTAGGTCAGATTTTGCAATAAGTGTAAGTTCTCAAAACAAAACAACAACAAATGAAATGAACAAAAATCTTTTGATAGAGGATCAGAGACCTATAGCTAATTAAGATCTAAATTCCAGTTAAGGAAGAAATAGAAATGCAGTTCTACCTTACTGATCCAGTATTGTTCTGGAATAAATTTAATATAAGTTTAATTTTGCAGGTTAATGAAATGTATTTCATTTCTTCAAATATTTTAAACTTCCTTCTTTTATCCAAATTGTTGAAAATCTTTCTGAAATATCCCGACCCAAATATTGTTACATCTAGTAAGTGCCAAAAGAACGCATGCAAATGGTCAATGAATCGCCTTTTCCATTGTGAACTGACACCAGCCTCAACTAAACTATCCCTGTTCTAGGTGATTCATGTACCATGAGTCATTCATTGTTATGCTGTATATAGTAAGGCAGCAATGTCCTCAAGTCTTGTTAGAGATATTTGCCCCTAGTTAAATGGCTCCAGCTATGCTTTTGTGAGTTCTTCTTGCTCCTTTTTGTGGTTTTTATGTATCTTCCTTGACTGTGAGACTCAACCTCTTCTCCCTAACCTAAAATAATTACTAAAGGCAAGAAATAATTAGTAAATAATTACTAAAGATAGATGGCAATTATTTTTATTTCTATACTACTATTTCTATTTCTATGTGAATTACTCCTACTATTTCTATATGAATTGCAGATGAGATTTTTATATAAATGATCCCAGTGGAATTAGAAGTAATATCTAGGCAAAAAAAAAATCATAATACTTTAAGAGTGAATTTGAGGCTGAGCATGGTGGCTCACTCCTGTAATCTTAGCACTTTGGGAGACTGCGGCGGGCAGATCACTTGAGCTCAAGAGTTCGAGACTAGCCTGGGCAACATAGAAAGACCTCATCTCTACAAAAATAATAAGTTAGCCAGGCACAGTGGCACACACCTGTAGTCCTGGCTACTCAGGAGGCTACGGCAGGAGGATTGCTGGAGCCTAGGAGCTCAAGGCTGCAGTGAGCAATGATTATACCACTGCACTCCAGCCTGGGCGACAAAGTGAGACCCGGTCTCAAAAAATATATATACACGTACATTTAACAAATGCATTTTCCTCTAAGGAATAAAATGATCATGTAAGTTTACACAAATTCATGCTCCATTCGCTGAATCATTTGAAGTTCCCAGATGTTGACATATCATTTCATCCTTCCATGACTTTGCACATGGAGCTACCTCTATTTGAAATGTGATGTCCTTCCTTCTAAATTTAGCAAATTCCTACTCATCCATCGTGATTACTATAACTGGGGAACAGAGTCATAGAGAAAATGAAAACTATTCTGTGGTCATTCTGGGTGGCAGGAGATCCTGCTGTTGGTGTAAAACTTTTCAGCATATTCTTTCTAGACTAAAATAAAAGAATCTGGCCTTATTCTGATGATTAGATGGTTAATTGACTTATAAAATGAGTTCCCTTTAAATTATGTAAAATGACAGCTGGAATAAGAGAAATCAGTAGCTTTTGGGGGAAAAAAATTACTTCATTAGAGTTACAAAAACTTAAAACACTCGCAGAAATGAAGTTAATAAAATGTTTCTCAAGAACACTTTATACATATGTGACCTGCACTCACATTGCATTTTTGTATACTGTCTTTGCTCTAGGGAAGATAATCATAAGATAGTTACAAAAATATTAAAGCCATACTTACTCAGAACATATTAATTGCATTTTTCCAGTGACTGGTTTTTCTTTCTCTTTTTCTTTTTCTTTTTTTTTTTTTTGAAACAGATTCTAGATCTGTGGCCTTGGCTGGAGTGCAGTGGCGCCATCTCAGCTCACTGCAACCTCTGCCCCCCCGGGTTCAAGCGATTCTCCTGCCTCAGCCTCCTGAGTAGCTGGGATTATAGGCATGTGCCACCACACCTGGCTAATTTTTGTTTTGTTTTTATTTTTTTGAGATGGAGTCTCACTCTGTTGCCAGGCTGGAGTGCAGTGGCGTGATCTCAGCTCACTACAACCTCCGCCTCCTGGGTTCAAACGATTCTCCTGCCTCAGCCTCCTAAGTAGCTGGGACTACAGGCACATGCCACCATACCCAGCTAAATTTTATGGTTTTAGTAGAGATGGAGTTTCACCATGTTGGCCAGGATGGTCTCAATCTCTTGACCTTGTGATCCGCCCACCTCAGCCTACCAAAATGCTGGGATTACAGGCGTGAGCCACCGCACCCAGCCTAATGTTTGTATTTTTAGTAGAGATGGGGTTTCGCCATGTTGGAAAAGTTGGTCTGGAACTGCTGACCTCAAGTGATTCACCCACCTCGGCCTCCCAAAGTGCTGGGATTACAGGTGTGAGCCACCATACCCAGCCCATGACTGGTTTTTCTGAGGTTTGTTATGTAGCTTCCTCTTTTCCTGGAACTTGAGAAATGAAGGCAGGTTCTTAATATTGCTAAGGTAGACATAGCATTTATATGTTTTCCCAGTTGATGAATGATGAAATCTAAATGTGCGGATCTCACTTATGCAGGTGCGAGTATTCGTCAACCAGTTATATCAGCCAAGTTTGGAGCGAGAAGTCAGTAAAAATCCAGATTTGCAGGCCATCCGAATTGCTTCTGTGAACCCCATCCTAGACCCCTGGATATATATCCTCCTGAGAAAGACAGTGCTCAGTAAAGCAATAGAGAAGATCAAATGCCTCTTCTGCCGCATTGGCGGATCCCGCAGAGAGCGCTCCGGACAGCACTGCTCAGACAGTCGAAGGACATCTTCTGCCATGTCGGGCCACTCTCGCTCCTTCTTCTCCCGGGAGCTGAAGGAGATCAGCAGTACATCTCAGACCCTCCTGCCAGACCTCTCACTGCCTGACCTCAGTGAAAATGGCCTTGGAGGCAGGAATTTGCTTCCAGGTGTTCCTGGCATGGGCCTGGCCCAGAAAGACACCACCTCGCTGAGGACTTTGCGAATATCAGAGACCTCAGACTCTTCACAGGGTCAGGACTCAGAGAGTGTCTTACTGGTGGATGAGGTTGGTGGGAGCGGCAGGGCTGGGCCTGCCCCTAAGGGGAGCTCCCTGCAAGTCACATTTCCCAGTGAAACACTGAACTTATCAGAAAAATGTATATAATAGGTAAGGAAAGAAATACAGTACTGTTTCTGGACCCTTATAAAATCCTGTGCAATAGACACATACATGTCACATTTAGCTGTGCTCAGAAGGGCTATCATCATCCTACAACTCACATTAGAGAACATCCTGGCTTTTGAGCACTTTGCAGACAATCGAGTTGACTCACATGGGTCCTGAGGCCTGCAGCACGTCGGTTAATACCCCACTATGACAGAGGATTGTGGTCACAACTTGATGGCTGGGAAGACCTACTCTCAGTTTTTCTACTGGATAGGAGGATGGCAGAAGTTTGGCTGCTTTCCTAACATCCAGAGCTTCGTCGTATTTGGCACACAGCAGGGGCCCAGATATTAGAAAGGCTCTATTCCAGTAAACTATGAGGACTGCCTTATGGATGATTTAAGTGTCTCACTAAAGCATGAAATGTGAATTTTTATTGTTGTACATATGATTTAAGGTATTTAAAGTATTTTCTTCTCTGTGAGAAGGTTTATTGTTAATACAAGGTATAATAAAATTATCGCAAGCCCTCTCCTTCCAGTATAACCAGCTGAAGTTGCAGATGTTAGATATTTTTCATAAACAAGTTCTAGTCAAAGTTGAAAATTCATAGTAAGATTGATATCTATAAAATAGATATAAATTTTTAGGAGAAAGAGTTTAGTATTATCAAAGGGATAAAGAAAAAAAATACTATTTAAGATGTGAAAATTACAGTCCAAAATGTTATTCTTTCCAGGCTATGTATAAAATACATAGTGAAAATTGTTTAGTGATACTACATTTATTTATCCAGAAAACTGTGATTTCAGGAGAACCTAACATGCTGGTAAATGTTTTCAACTTTTTCCCTCACTAATTGGTACTTTTTAAAACATAACATAAATTTTTTAAAGTCTTTAATAAATAACCCATAATTAAAGTGTATAATAGAAAAAATTTTAAAAATCTAAGCAGCTTATTGTTTCTCTGAAAGTGTGTGTAGTTTTACTTTCCTAAGGAATTACCAAGAACATCCTTTAAAATTTTAAAGGATGGCAAGTTGCATCAGAAAGAGCTTTATTTTGAGATGTAAAGATTCCCAAATGTGGTTACATTAGCCATTCATATATATCAGAAGTGCAGATTTGGGGCACTTAATGGTCACCTTGTAACAGTTTTGTGTAACTTCCAGTGATGCTGTACACATATTTGAAGGATCTTTCTCAAAGAAATATTAAGCATGTTTTGTTGCTCAAAGTGTTTTTGTGAATTGCTTGGTTGTAATTAAATTCTGAGCCTGATATTGATATGATTTTAAGAAGCAGTTGTACCAAGTGAAATTATTTTGGAGATTATAATAAATATACACATTCAATCTGAGTTGCATATCCTCAATTTGGGAAAACTTGTAGGGTGGGGGTTTGTTGTTTCAGGTCATCATCTATATCCTTTTATATATATTTTTTAAATTTATTGGGAAATAATTTTAAAGAAATGTTGCAAGAAAAGTATAAAGCCTTGGATACACTTAGTAGAGAATGACACTTTACTCAAAGCCTCCAGTTTGTATGGGTGATGGATTGAGACAGTATTATGCCTAGCTTGCGACATATAAAGGACTCAAATAATTATTACTAAAATTAGCATATTTTACATTTTGCAGTTTTTTTAAACTGCCATTTTATTTATTTATTTATTTATTTATTTATTTATTTATTTTTGAGACAGAGTCTTGCTCTGTCAGCCAGACTGGAGTGCATTGGCACAATCTTGGCTCACTGCAACCTCCACCTCCCGGGTTCAAGCAATTCTCATGCCTCAGCCTCTTGACTAGCTGGGATTACAGGCGTGCACCACCATGCCCGGCTAAATTTTGTATTTTTAGGAGAGACATGTCATGCCATGTTGGCCATGGTTGGTCTCAAACTCCTGGCTTCCAGCAGCCTGCCCACCTCAGCCTCCCAAAATGCTAGGATTGCAGGCAAGAGCCACCATGTCCGGCCCTTTTTACATTTTTAAATGCAAATTTTGTTCATTTTTTGAGTGAGTTATGTATCTGCATTAGTCAGCTAAGGCTGCCATAAAATACTATAGATGGGTGGCTTACACAACAGAAACTTATTTTCTCACAGTTGTGGAGGGTGAAAGTCCAAGACCAAGGTGTCAGCAGAGTTGGTTTCTCTCAAGCCCCCTCTCCTTGGCTTGCAGATGGCTCCCTTCTTTCTGTGTCCTCAGATAGCCGTTTCTCCAGGTGAGCACATCCCTGATGCCTCCCTCCTTATAAGGACACCAGTCATACTGGATTAGGGCCCCACCCTTATGACCTCATTTAACCTTAATTCATCCCTTAAAGGCCCTCTCTCCAAATATAGTCACAATGGGGGTTAGGGCTTCAACAAATGATTTTTGGGGGGCAAGTGTCTTTTTCATTGTTGAGCCTGATTTATTCTTAAACTAGCAACCAAGAAAAATGAATTTCGGCACTGCTCCATCATCTATTCCACATTTATTTATAAAATTTAACAGCTATGCAATGCAAAGATTATTTCTTATTTCTTGCTATGGGACACTTGTTCCAGACCATTTAGAGAACTTCGAATTTTCTACACAGGAAAGTTCTGATTGTTTATCGGCTACTATTAAGTCCTAACATCTCAAAAGGATATAACAGACAAGAAGGTAATTTTAACATCATATTATAATCTTTGAGACAATCTAACCAATTAAATCAAGTATGTTAGAAAAGATAGATTTGCAGGACTATTAAAATGGTACTTTAGGCCAGGTGCAGGGGCTCACACCTGCAATCCCAACACTTTGGGAGGCCAAGGCAAGTGGCTCACTTGAGGTCAAGAGTTCAAGACCAGGATGGTCAACATGGTGAAACTCTGTCTCTCTTAAAAATACAAAAATCGGCTGAGCGTGGTGGCTCACGCCTGTAATCCCAGCACTTTGGGAGGCTGAGGCAGGCAGATCACGAGGTCAGGAGTTCAAGACCAGCCTGGCCAATATAATGAAACCCCATCTCCACTAAAAATACAAAAATTAGCCAGGCATGATGGTGGGTGCCTGTAGTCCAGCTACTTGGGAGGCTGAGGCAAGAGAATCGTTTAAACCCTGGAAGCAGGGGTTGCAGTGAGCCAAGATTGCACAACTGCACTCTAGCCTGGGCGATACAGTGAGACTCTGTCTCAAAAAAAAGAAAAATATAAAAATTAACCAGGCATGGTGGCATGCACCCAGCTACTCAGGAGGCTGAGGCAGGAGAATCACTTGAACCCAGAATCACTTGAGCCAGTATCGGCCTCTGCACTCCAGCCTGGGCGACGGAATGAGACTCCATCTGAAAAAAAGAAAAAAATGGTACTTTGTGCAGCCATAAAAAAGAAAGAAATCATGTCCATGTCCTTTGAACCAACACGAATGAAGGTGAAGACCATTGTCCTAAGTGAACTAACTCAGAAACAGAGAAGCAAACACTGCATGTTCTCACTTATAAATACACTTATACAATGGGTACACATGGTCATAAAGATGGAACTAATAGATGCTGGGGACTCCAAAAGTGGGGAGGTGAGGGAGAGCAAGGGGTGAAGAATAACCTACTGGGTACTATGTTCACTATTTGGGTATTGGGTACACTTGAAGCCCAATCCCCACCAGTATGCAATATACCCATTTAACAAACAAACACACATACCCCCCGAATCTAAAATAAAATGATAAAATAAAAAATAAAATGGTACTTTGACCAAGGGACCACAGAATTCAAGAGTTCTTTCCCAAATCATAGCTAGTCCTCTCCACAAGTTTTCTCTTAGGGGCAATAAATACAAAAGGGACATGGAAAAATCAAGGCACAGTAATATTTACTGTTAGCTATCCACATGGCCTCAAATGTTAATGCAGAAAAATTTCCGTTACACAAATATTCATTTTTCCTAAACTACTTGTACTAGTCTCAGAACAAACCATGTTTGCTTTCTTCCAATACTGGCCCACCTCATGCCCTTCCCCCATTACATCCAAGCCTGAATCTAAGATGCTGCAATTATGATCTCAAGATTGTCATCCAGACACATGAAAAATGGAACCAGAAAAAACAAGACACTTACAACAAGAGAGAACATTTGGTCCCATTGCTTACTGTGGGGTTTCTCTGGGCTACAGCTGGTGCTTTAACCCCAAACTGGAAGTACCCTGGCAGAAAGGAAAAGAGAAAGAGAGCTGGGCCTTTGGTCCTTCTATCAACATCTCTACCATTCAATCATTTATCCATTCCCTTTACCTTGCCAGGCCATCCACCCCATTTCCCACCATGGAAGAGAAGGACAGAAGAGAACACCAGTCATAACTTTTTCCTAAGAACTTTTAACCACAGCAACTCCACACACTAAAATCTGAATAATTAGGTAAGTATTTCTCTTTCTTGAGGAGGGTGAAACGGGATTTAATACAAAGGAGGAGAAAAAGAATTCCAAGAACAATGAACGAGAACCCAACGCAACAGCTCTGCAATAGGCAGAGCACAGTGAAACCAGACTGAGGCAGGAGGGAAGGCTCTCTGATGTCCCCACGGTAGAAAGAAAGGAAAGAAAGAAGGAAAGAAAGAAAAGAAAGTAAAGGAAGGAAAGAAAGAAAGGAAGGCCAGGCACAGTGGCTCACCCCTGTAATCCCAGCACTTTGGGAGGCCGAGGCAGGTGGATCACTGGAGTTCGGGAGTTCAAGACCAGCCTGACCAACATAGAGAAACCCTGTCTCTACTAAAAATACAAAATTAGCCAAACGTGGTGGTGCATGCCTGTAATCCCAGCTACTTGGGAGGCTGAGGCAGGAGAATTGCTTGAACCCTGGAGGCGGAGGTTGCAGGGTGAGCCGAGATCGCACCATTGCACTCTAGCCTGGGCAGAGAGTAAAATTCTGTCTCAAAACAAAACAAAACAAACAAACAAAAAAGAAAAAAGAAAAAGAAGGAAAATTAATAGATTATTTGATGTTTGGCAAAATTGAGGGTAGCATTATAGTTCTATTAGAAAAATTAGTAATATATATATATACATAGGAAACTAATGAATTAAAAAAGGCAATTATTGACTCCATGAAAAACAAACAGAGGTGGAAGAAAGGTAAAATAAACATAATATACAAAGTGAACTAAATTATGTGTAATGATTATACTCATATCAAATAATGAATATACGGTCAGGTACAGCGGCTCACACCTGTAATCCTAAAGCTTTGGGAGGATGAGACAGGATTGCTTGCACAAACTCCTCTTGGGCAGCCATAAAAAAGAATGAAATCATGTCCTCTGCAGCAGCACAAATGGAACTAGAGACCATTGTCCTAAGTGAACTAACTCAGAAACAGAAAACCAAATACCACATGGTCTCACTTGCGGAGTTCAAGACCAGTCTGGGCAACACAGTGAGAGATCCTGTCTACAAAAAAAAAAAAAGAAAAAAAAGAAAAATTATCCAGGCACGGTGGCACGTGCTTGTTGTAGTCCTAGCTACTCGGGAGACTGAGGCAGGCAGATCTACTGAGCCGTGAATTTGAGGTTACAGTGAGCTAAGATGGTACCACTGGACTCCAGCCTGGGCAACAGACCAAGACTCTGTCTCTAAAATGTAATCATCATCATCATCATTATCATCATAAATGTAGATTGAAACCTAAATTATAATTATACTGAGAATTAAGAAAGAAGTAGTAAATATCTTGGGAAAATACAAGACAGCTAAGTTATACTCATCTATAGTACAATGTCAGTACTTAATGTCCTAAATTTTTTAAAATTAAATAGCAGTGAAACCACAATAATACACCCTTATACTCCAATCATATTTGCAAAATAAGTAAAGTATGAAAATACCAAGTATGCTTCAAAAAATATACTGTTCTTGGGAGTATAAAACTGATACAACCACTTTGAAAAATGAATTTAGTATTATCTGCTAAAGTCCAGGATGTATATGCCATCAATGAAAACAGTAACTGCAGAGATTGAAACATATCAATTATGTCTCAATGCATTACTTATAATAATACAACAAAACAAAACACCTCATTGGTCACCTTTGGAGGATTCTAGGGAGCCAACTAATTATTTTGAAAAGTGGTAAGAAGACAAAGAACAAAGCCTTTATTATATAAACAGCCTTTACTCTGTAGTCTTTCCAGCATAAGAAAATAGTCTATGAGAGAAAGTTTTTCTTTAAAGTTTTCTAGTACCAAAAGAGTAACAGAATTATTACCAGTTTGTAGCCACTAATGAAATAATGGATCTAGACAATCATAGTCAATGGCTGCTGACATTACAAAGAGAAAGAGATGGCAAGAAATATTTAACTTCTAGTGATGTACCCACAGCCACCCAT